TTGGCAAATATATGCGTGTTGCGCAGAATAAAATTGTGTACTTAAAATTTGGCAAATATATGTTGAAAGTAATTATGTTATCAATATTAACTATGAAATAATAGTTTTTTACACTAATATGTTTTTTTTAGAAAGGGAACTTTCCTAACAAGGGTTTCCGAGCCAGCTTTCGCGCACCGAGTAATCCCCCGCTACGAACATGAGGCTATGTCTCATGCGCTGGAACCATTGCAGACGGACCTCCATGGCCATAAAGGCTGAGTAGTATCAAGATTTGAAAATGGGTCAACAGGCTTCTTACACTAATATGTTATGTAAAATTGTAATGATTTTGAACCATGTTATAATATAAATTTAAATCATATCAATTAATGGCCTCTACTAGCATCTGACGTGTGAATAAAACTAAATATAATTCTCGATTTAATGTTAGTTTTAACCTAATGATTAACTAATGTAGAAATTATTTATTTCATATTTTTTTATTGTAAGGTAACATAATCTAATTTATTGGATACATGTCGATTTAGTTTTATATTTAAAATATTTTAATGTTTTAAACTATTTAAAAAATAATATTTGAATACTTTTATATATATATATATATATATATATATATATATATATATATATGATTTTTATTTTTTATTTAACCTGATATTTAAATTAATATTTTAAGTATTTATATCGACATTTCAAAAAGTTTATCATTAGTATGACAATATTTCACCATTAATAACATATGTAAATTAATAAATCGTATTAATTAGAATGAAATATAATGAGTTTGGGGGGGGGGGGGTTTCTAAATGCTTCTGGTGAAATAGAAAATGTTTTTTTATAGTATACTAGGCGAATACCCGCGCGTTGCACATGAAAACAATTACATGTTTAAAATATTTTGAAATTAACAAATTTACCTATATATTTTTGGTAATTTTCTATCTATAATCACACTGAAATTGGAACCCGCGGTTCTTAAGATCTTGGAACGTGTTATAGAACCATATCATTCGTTTGGATTGGAGCCGGTCCAATGATTTTTCATGTCCAAGACTAAAAGTCGCAATAATTCCCCGTGTTAGTATCGCAATTAGTAATTACCCCAAAATCGTATTTCATCTCGGCTAAAATGACAAGATTTTTAATAAAACTTGTGTTTCTGCTTCCTGCTTGGCAATAATAATATCATTTCCATAGTGTTAGTTGTGTAACATACTGTTAGTTGCGTAAAATATAGGGATAAATTTTGAAATTGTAATTGGGCTACTTTGTGTATTTGTCCTTTCAACATTTTCTATTTTTTTGTTTTCTTTTTTCGTGTCATGCCTTCTTCTTTTAGGTTTTGACTTTTTTTAATAAAATTTTGTTGATTATAAAAAAAACCCATATGCTATACAATAATATGATTTTTTAAAGATAAACATGCAATAAATGATTTGCCTAAAATACATTGATAAAAACATCTAAACAATTTCTTCTTTTGCTATCTAGCAAAAGATAAAGTAAAAAAATGTCTTTTGATTCATCTCGTTGATCAAAAAATTTCCGTTACTACTATTAAATTCGATTGCATCAAACGATTATCCCAATAATAGTATAACTATAGTTATTGTCATTAGTTAAATTCTTAATTTCTTGGTCAATACTGTCCAATATGACTTTTGAATTTCTACCAATGATAATCTCTATGTTTTTTACCCAAACTTCATTAAATTTTTTTCATTAGTTATTCAACTCAATTCTAGATCCTTTTTTGGCAATTTGTATTTATTATTTGTCACTCATCTATGTTTTTATCCTTGATAATTGCCTTGTTAAGGATAAATAAATATAACATGGCTTCGAGATAAATTTATTCTCCAAAATATACTCCTTATGAATAGATGCATAAGAAGTTCAAATACAAATAAATGTTAGGACTAAACGGAATATAAACAATGATATTTGTAGTAATTCTTGGCTTAAACATAAAATAAAATAATGTTTTTTTTTCTAAATGAAATAAGGGTGCTAAAGGTAAATCACATGTAAATATGTTGACTATGGATTAAAAGTACACACAATAGGTTAAGTTTTTTAATGGATTTTAGTTTTGTTTGATTTTAGTCTTTTTCATCTCTCTTAATGAATTATGTTACTATTTAAACTTTTTTAGGGAGCCCTTTATTCAAAGATTAAAAGAGTTTATTAAGTGTTGTAGATCATCATGATGTGCAATCAAATTTACTTTATCATTTGCCTTTTTGTGTCGTGTTTTTATCCCCCATTGCATAAAAAACAAAGTTGATTTGAAAACAAACAACTATAAGTAAATAGGCTAAGAAATTTTTTATCACACGTTGTTTAAGAAACAAAACTCATAGGAATACAAACATCTATAAGTAAAGAGGATAAAACACTTTCTCTTTTATGATTGTTCTTTTGAGTTTTTTTTATTATAACTGGTTTAAACATTAATTGCAACATTCCAAGAACCATGTTGTCGACCATAAAAGTGTCTTTTAGAACTATCATATTTTCTACCTTTTGTGATGTCATACATCGATAAAATATAAAATGATGTTATTTAGGTGACATTTTTTAACGAAAATTTCATCACCGTAAACTTTCGTCTTAGTTTTTAAACACCATGAGAAGCATTAATAATTTTTTTTACCAAATTCATGCCACAAAATATTAATGGGTTTAATGTATATAATCTTAAGTCTTAACGTTTATATAAAAGTTGATTTTTTTAAATATTTATATAGCTACACGTTCAACTTAATTATTTTGAACAATGTTCAAACGTTCATTATAAAAAAAACTATATATATATATATATATATATATATATATATATATATATATATATATAGAGAGAGAGAGAGAGAGAGAGAGAGATGTTCAAATGTTTCTACTATCTATTGTGTGTATGTAGGATTGATTGTAGACCAATCATTTTTGTTATTTTAATAAATTAATTAATGCATATTAAATGCTGAAGATTTAATTAATAGTCATTATATCTTTAACATTTAATATGCATTAATTACTTTCGTAAAATAACTAAAATGATTGGTCCACAATCAATCCTAAATGCATACAATATATATATATATATATATATATATATATATATATATATATATATATATATATATATATATGGTGATGAATCTAAAGAAGTTTACATATATCACAACACATTAGACTATGGAAAACGACATACTATGAACATGTGAAATCATTTTTTAAGTGTTTAACTGTTTTTTTAGTAACCTTGAGGTTTTAATACTTCTAGCAGTTGAAACTAAATAATATAATCCCTTAGAGCTTTAGATAAAAAAAACAGAATTATAATAAAACGACAACTAATGAATATTAATAATAAACTTTAAAAGCCACTTTATTATCAAGAATGAAAGATAAGAGAAACAAATTAGTTATATTATATAAGAGAAATATGGAAGGTTAAATTTGTATGCGATGCAATTTAGGAAAAATAGAAAAAAATCTCAAATTAATGTGGTAAAAGATAAATCATTTATCTTGAACTATTTTGATTTGGATGACCTCTTTTATGGTTAAGTGGATATTTTTTTTTATTTATTTAACATCACTCAACTAATTTATAGAATTATTAGAAAGAAACTAAAAAGTCATGTGAGTTTCAAATAAATGTGGTAAAAACAAAAATGCTTCCTTTCTATTTTCCAAGAAATTTAATAGTTTGAAACGTTTCTAAGGGTAGAAAATGATTAACGAATTATGTTACTATTCACTACTACAAAAATACCCTTTTCGCGACACGCAATGTGTGTCGTAAAACGCTCAGACCACACGCAAATGTGTGTCAAGGAAGGCCCTGTCATAACGAAAGACGACACGCTTTTGCGCGTCGTAAACTTACGACGCAAATTTACGACACGTATTTACGACATGCATTGTGTGTCAAGGAAGGTCATGTCATAAAGGAAGACGACGCGCATTTGCGTGACGTAACTTTACGACGGATATTTACGACTTGTATTGCGTATCATTGAAGACCCTATCATAACGGAAGACGACACACATTTTTGCATGTCATAATTTTAAATGTTTCAAAAAATATATATTTTTATAGGTTTACTATTTCTTTCAAATTAAATGACAGTTAATGTTCCATCATAGAAAATAATATTTCATAAACAAAAAAAAAACAATCCATTTCACATTATATAAGTATTTCAAATACAAATAATCTCTTAAATGCTAAATAAATGTAATGCGTTGCATGTTTCACATATAAAATGTAAACAAAAAAAAAATCCTTAGTGTCATTGGTTTGCCACAAGGTGTATCAGGTAAAATGTTGAACGTGGTGACATTGGCAGTTGTCGACCTGGTGGTATGGATGGCAAGTTCTTGTAGCATTTGTCAAAAGTGCAAAAGTGGTGGTATGGATGGACGCCACTATCCCCCATCATTCTTCACTTTTGGTGGTGGCACATGTGAAATCAATGTTGTTAGTATTAAGAACATGAAAACCAAAAAACAAAATAGGATGTATGTTTTGTTAACTATTATATATTATTTATTATTTACCTCCAAAATGAAGATACTCTACACTTTTTTCTTTAACTGATTTCCATCTTCCCAGGTTTCTTCTGAACAAAATAAAAAAAAATTAAAAAGTTCTGATTAGTTGTGAATTATCTCCATTCTATCCAAGATTGGATTGGGTATAGTTTCTACTACATTTTCTGTACATATAAACAAAACCTGCACCATATATTTCACAGTCCAATTAGTCCACCTAAGTTATAAGAATGCTTACCTAAGTGATTAGTTGCTCAATGAAGACAAACTTAACACATTAATCATAACCAAATCTACTAGAATCAAACATAGCATGACATTATGCAAAGGGTGCAGAAACCATCCATTGTAACTAATCTATCATCACAAGAAACACTAACCTTTGACAAGTCAATTGGAACATTAAGGTAATGATATAAGAAATTTGCATTCTGCTCTTAATTAAGCAGCTCCAACATAGCACTTACAGGATCAACCGCATGTCCCCTGCCCAACTACACCCAACATAACATATAAAAATTTATCATCACAACGTTCTAAAAACCATTTCCAAATGCTTGTGACATAATTTAAAACAAATGTAACATTATACCTTATCAATCTCATCAATTAGAACACGAGGGTTTGTTGTTCCCACACTCTTCAGACACTGCACCATTTTCCCAGGCATTGCACCTATATAAGTCCTCCTATGTCCCTGGTATAAAACAATCTTAAATGTTAATAACAAAGATGCTACTTCTAATAATCAAGTGTATTAATGAAAACTCTTTTTGACCTTGATTCCAGCCACATCAGACAATCCACCAACAGAAAACCTATATAACTTTCTATTCAAAGCACGTGCAATCGAATGACCTATGTTGGTTTTACCCACTCCAGGAGGACCAGAAAGGCAAATGATTTTTTCTGCAAAAAAAATTATAAGTTTTGCATTTCACAGTTGAAGCATAGATGATTAAAAAAAACTAACCTAGTGATGTTCCTCTTAGTTTTCTCACTGCAATAAACTCCAGTATCCTCTCTTCAACATCAGTTAAACCATATTGATCCTCATCAAGAATTTGTTGAGCTTGTACAAACATTAAAGTTCTTATCACTGAAGTTCGTTAAACAATATTTTTCCTTATAACATAATTTTTCAAAAGCATAAGACTTGTTAACATACCTGTAGTTACCCCATGGTAAGGCTGTCAACCAATCAAGATAGTTACGTGTAACATTGAATTAACTTGAATCGGCTTCCAAAAGTTGTAGTTTTTTCAATTCTTCTTCAATAACTTGCAGAACATGAGGTGGGATGTTATCGTTGTTTGGCTCAATTTTGTATCTAAACTTATCTACAAGACATAATTTCAAGATTATGAGTTATTCTCTTCATACTACACTGGACAGATGGAAAAAAGATTAAAAAAATTAACTTTTAGAACTAAATTGCATATAGTTTACTGTAGGAACCTGTGCATCTTCTTGAACACGCAGGTTTGTATGCAGCTGCATCGAGCAAATTATTGATGACCTGGCACAATAGTATAGGATAACAAGATAAAATACGTAAGCTTCAGTAGTGACATGATACTGGCTGTGAAAAGTGCATAATGAAGTGAATTTGCTTCTTGTTTAATTTGCAAGTGGTCATCCTTTATAGCCTATGGTATTATTCCAGGAGAATGCTGATCACCCTGCAAAGATCATTGAATCAGAAATATCCCTTGAAACTGATAATATCACAAGAGTAGAAATTTCTCTTACATGCATTGTATGTGTCTTCCCACTACTTGTAACACTATAAGCAAAGACAGTGCCTGCATTAGCAGTCTTACATTAGCTTAGACAATTAGTGTTTCATTCAATCCCTCATGAATTAGAAATAGGTAACAAACTAGCAGCGAATGAATGCAATTGGATTAGTAAATTTGATCTACTTCTACCACACCATTTAGTCCTTCCATAGCATTCTTCACAACAGGTCGAGCAGGTACTTCATACACTTACTGAGTGACGACAGAGGGTCCAAAAACTCTATCTGTCATGTCATCATAAACAAATAACAGTATCAAATATGGATTCTGATATTTAGTTTTCATATTATCATTATATTCTTTTCTATTTCCTTGATTAATCATGGAGAAAGCCATATTGTGTACCAAATGCATAGGATTTCATTGGATTGTACTCGTTTCGAACAAGCTTATCTCCGTTGGTGTACCAAGAAATTTTGTCTCCTCTCTGATACTCTCGTTCACTACAATAGCAAAAAATTAGATATTATGTCACCGACGTTTTCTCAAAACCCTAACTCACCTAAAATCAAGATTAGTTATAGATCTAAGTTCAATTTTAGATCCATCAATAAATCAAATTACCTCAATAGCCGAAACCGAATCTTTACAGACATGCTATCACCTCCTCCGGCCTCCGTAACCTCATTTGGAATACATCGAATCTGACCTAGCCACACCAGGAGTAATGGATCTGGAATCGTAGTCGTCACCATAAGCCCCTGAGAGTGACATAGTTGCGGAAGAGGAGCATGAGCGAGGAATGAGCTGGTTATTAAAAGAAGACGTTGATGAAGAGAGAGCTGAGGTGTTCGTCGGAGGAAGCTTTGGTTGTTGAACGCTTAGGGCAAAGAGGGAAGTGAAAGCGGAATTTTCTAAATTTTGAGCTTTTCTTTTCCCTCTTGTTACTAAAGAACGCACATTTCATTAAAAATTATAACACGACATGTTTAGATGACACACATTTTATAATAAGCACCTTCCGTGTTTTTTTTTTCTGACACTAATTTTTAGGGTACGCAAAAATGCGCATACTAAATCCTTAATATTTCTAGAGAGCAGACATATTTTTAGGCCACACACTTTTGCGTATCATAAATAGCGTGTCATTAAAGGCCTGCTTTCTAGTAGTGATTCAAACTCATTAGGGAGACCTTTATTTAAAGAATGAAAGAGTTTATTAAGTTTTATATATCATGAAGATATGGGATCAAATTTTCTTTATCATATGCATTTTTGTGTCATGTTTTTTTATCCCACAACGCTTAAGAAACAAGGCTGAAGTCAAAGCAAACAACTATAAGTAAATAGGCTAAAATATTTTATCTTATATTTTTGTTTTCTTGTGTTCTTGATTGTAACTAGTTTAGACATCAATTGCAACATTAAAGGAACATTATTGTCGACCATGAAAGTTCTTTTTAGAACTATCATAGTTTTTACGTTTTGTGATGTCCTACATCGATATAATATAAAAAGATGATATACAAATGACTTTATTTAATGAAAATGCCATCATCCTAAACATTCGAATTAGTTTTTAACCTCCATGAGAATCCTTAAAAAACTTTTTTACCACATTCATGACAAAAAAAATTAATGGTCTTAATGTATATAATCTTAAGTGTTAACATTTATATAAAATTTGATTTTTTTAACATTTGTATAACTATAACATTCAACTTAATTGTTTTCAACAATGTTCAAACGATAATTATATATATATATATATATATATATATATATATATATATATATATATATATATGTGACAACCCAAATTTTTTTTACTTTTAAAGCTCATTCAGTCAACTCAACAGAGTGTCAGACTCATTGGTAATGAGTTCTAGCTTGGTTAAAGGTCATTCTAAAGAGTTTTAAGCCTAGTACACTTAAGGAATGAGTGTTAGAATGTACCTGCTTGAGACACTGTGTAACAAATCAAGCATTAACCTCATTATAAGGAGTTCACGGCCACCATGCCAATGAGTTTACGGCCGTAAACTCATGTGGCCGTAAACTCAAGTGTATATATGTGGTCCTTGATCATTTCCAGCCATTTCTCACATTCCAACCTCAAGAACACTCCATTTCTCTCTCAACTATCATCCCGATCTTCGTCATAGATCATCAAAAACGTAAGTGTTCTTTCCTTGATTTGTTGTTACACTTCATCTCCTAGTTACACTCTTTGATTCCATCCATGAAAACATTCATTTCAACTAGATCTTCAATTCTTCAAGTTTCACCAAGAACACCAAGAACACATACTAGTGTTCTTGGCCAAAATCGACCCTTTCAAGCTTCTATATCGTAAGTACTCTTCCCTACACATGATATCTAGTTAAGGTTCATGCTTAGGACCCTGAAAACATCAAGAATGAAGGACCAAAAGGAGTTTACGGCCAAGCCATCTACCATGGCCGTAAACCCCTATAAAGGTGCCATTTTGGCCATAAACTCTTCCTAAGGCTTGGATTTGAGGCTAGAACACTCCCTTGTGCTTTGTAAGACCTTGAATCATCACCCAACTCATCATTAGAGAGTTTACGGCCCAAGAGTAAACACCCTTGGCCGTAAACTCCATTTAAGGTCAAGTCTTTGACCTTAAACTCTTCTAGGCCTTTGCTAACTTTTGGGACATGTAAGCCTTTGAAACTCCTTACCTTTGAGACCCTAAATGTGACCATTAAGAGAGTTTATGGCCAGGAGTAAACTCCCTTGGCCGTAAACACCTCAACACTCTCCATTGAGTGGGTCTTTCACATCCTTGTGTAGAGCAAAATTCCCTCAAGCTTCCCTAGCCTTCAAACACCATCATATGCAACTTTAACCATGAGTTTACGGCCGTAAACTCCCTTGGCCGTAAACACATGGCCGTAAACACCAAGCCATGGCCATAAACACCCTTTAGATGAATCACATGTGATTCTAACACTTGGTCAAAGTGTTCCCTAGCCCCGTGAGGTGTTTCCTTGCATTTGGTTGCTTCCAAGCACTATATTTATGTCAATATATGCCAATGTATGTCATTTAGGACTTGTTGTGTCTCAGGACTTCATTCGTGGAACTTCTCATCCTTACACGCGTATCCGTTGAATCACCCACATCAGGTGAGTTCATACCCCGTAATGAATCTTTTAATTGTTTTAAGGGGGGAATACAAGTTGAACACAATGTTAATTGTGTAATTGTTTGTTATAAACATTTTCAAAAGGATTACTTGTGTCATTTATAAGTTGTCAAAACATCTCAAAGACTCTTTTCAATTTATGTTACTTTATAGTTTAACAAAAGTCCGTTTTTAAAGTACCAGCATAACTTAGTGGTAAAATGAGTCTTTTCCACAACAGTTCAAGTACATTACTAGTAAAATATAATAGGTATAGTTTAGAGTCAGTTCATACATGAGTCAAAGCATCCTATGATGAGAAACAAACAGAGCATACATACATACTAGACAGAGAGAACATACAATACAACTAGTACATACTATACAAGAGAGTACACTATACATTAGTACAGAGTGAACACTACTACATTATGACTTACTATACAAACACTGTTATACGATAAATTAATGTGACAAACCATTTAAGGATACAACGATACTGTGTTGTATCAATTTGTAACCAGAGTCTCCTGGAGGGAGAGCGGGCATCTTGTGTATAGATCTATACGGGACAGAAACTCCCACACCCTGACCGCTAGCTACAGTCCTAGCCAATAAGGCCAAGGGGTGACAAATGTCACCTCACTACATATGACACAGGAGGGTCATCTTTTATTCAGTCGTCGATCAGCATGGTTACATACGAGTTCACATTAAAACCTTTAATTTACCATTTTGGGATTAAAGGCAACTTTAGACTCCCCGAGGTGTATTGTACATTTAATACTACCTGGAGTCTGTATTTTATTACTTTATAGCCAGGGATTAAAGGCTACTTTAGACTCCCCGAGGTGTATTGTACATTTAATACTACCTGGTGTCTGTATTTTATTACCTTATAACCAGCAGTGTCACTGCTGAGGTAAAACATTATTTTCCCTATTACATTTACTTTGTGATCTTCTCACATATTCATTAATGTATAAACTATATTTTGTTAATGATAGTTTCACTCGGGGAAAATACACACTCATACAAGAAACATACCTACATAACATTTGATGCCTTGGTAGAAGGCTACGTTTAGTAGGAAGGACCATAATGCTAACCTTATGATTCCTTAATGTATACATCAAAGGATACATATATATCAATAGGATCCGACAGGTAATATGATGTGTGCTCTCCGCTTCATTTCCTGTTCCTTGTTCGGTTGTGGGCTTGGAGCAGATTCACCCAGCCTATTATCTATTCGATTCTAGATATATATGTCCAGTATACATTGAGTCATCATAAAGGTACCAGGTATGGGTCAAGTCATAGGGCACAGAGTCGATGCACAGTTTTCTAGTACAGAGCATACTTTCCAAATCAGAACTTTTGGTATACAAAACTAGAAACTTACGAGTTAATGGTTTAATCCATTTTATTAAACCAGTATAACTTAAAGGACCTTAGGTGATTAACTCTATAATACTTTAGTTTATACATCATGGGTATATATCATTAATACTCAATAGGTAGTTGGATGTGTGTTTTCCGCCTTACTTCCTGTTCCTTGTTTGGTTGTGGGCTTAGGGCAGATTCACCCAATTAACTCTCTATCCGATATTAGATCATATATAGCCAGTATAAACTAGGTGATTATAGAAGTAATCACTGTGGTCACCATTTTATTATAAGAAATAAGGGTTTTCTTAAAGAATATTTTCATTAAATATAAAGGAACCATTAAAATTAACTCCATGAGTAACAAGTGAACACACCAGAGTTATATACAACAATGATCTAACAAACAATGGGATGTGTGCTATCCGCCTTACTTCTTGTTCCTTGTTTGGTTGTGAGTTAGGGCAGATGCGCACAGTCGATTGTTTGTTTACTCTGAGTTTTATATCACTTGTATCCATTTAGTACTCATAGAAAGGATTGTAGGATCATTTTTACGTATCTTTCATCAAAGTAGGAAATATAGGATTTTCTAAGGGGAACAGGCGAACTTTTCTAAACAAAACTTACAGCTTACTACATCTTTCAACTACATTTTTCCAACAGCAGTTTACCACAACGTTTTACAACTTACTTACATCACTAAAATCTTATGAACTCACCAGCTTAATTGCTGATCAACTCTTTCAAATAACTTGTATTCTCAGGAGCCTAGTAGACTGGTACTCGTGCTGGGAATTCGGAAGATGGAGCACTATAGCTTCAAGTCTTATTTGTTATTTGCTTATGTATTCTATGTTTTGTGAACACACACTTTGTAAACACTTTCTTTCTAATGAAATGGTTGTTCGTTACTTTGCTTACTATAATGCATGTCTTGTGATACTAAACATGAAGTCGTCCACCCCAGAACGTTTCCGTCATTCCGGTTTTGGGGTGTGACAATATATATATGCATTGTGATGATTCGAAAGAAGTTTACATGTATCACAACACATTAGACTATGCAAACGACATACTTTGAACTTGCAAAATCATTATTTAAGTGTTTAACTATTTTTATAATAACTTTCAGGTTTCAGTACTCTTAAAAGTTGAAACTAAATAATATAATCATTTAAAACTTTGAGATTAAAAACTTGTTTTATAATAAAATGACCGCTAATAAATATTAGTCTTTAAAAGCCACTTTATGATCAAGAAGGAAGGATAAAAGAAACAAACTAATTATATTATATAGGCAAAATTGGAAAGGTTAGATTTATGTAGGAAGCACTGTGGGACAAATAGAAAAAAACTCAAATTAATGTGGTAAAAGTTAACTTTTCTTCGGAGGAAGCTTTGGTTACATGCTGAACACTTAGGGCAAACACGGAAGTGAAAGCGGACTTTTCTAATTTTGGAGCTTTTCTTTTCCCGCTTGTTGCTAAAGAACGGGCATTTCATTTAAAATTATAAAATGACATGTTTAGATGACACACATTTTATAATAAGCACCTTCAGTATTTTTTTTCTGACACTAATTTTAGGGTATGCAAAAATGCGCATCCTAAATCCTTAATATTTCTAGAGAGCAGACATTATTTTTAGGCCACACACTTTTGCGTATCATAAATCATGTGTCATTAAAGGCCTGCTTTCTAGTAGTGATTCAAACTCTTTAGGGAGACCTTTATTTAAAGAATTAAAGAGTTTATTAAGTTTTATATATCATGACGATATGGGATCAAATTTGCTTTCTCATATGCATTTTTGTGTCATGTTTTTTTTATCCCACACCGCTTAAGAAACAATGTTGAAGTGAAAGCAAACAACTATAAGTAAATAGGCTAAAATATTTTATCTTATATTTTTGTTCTTTTGTGTTCTTGATTGTAACTAGTTTAGACATCAATTGCAACATTCAAGGAACATTTTTGTCGACCATGAAAGTTCTTTTTAGAACTATTATAGTTTTTACGTTTTGTGATGTCGTACATCGATATAATATAAAAAGATGATATACAAATGACCTTATTTAATGAAAATGCCATCATCCTAAACATTCGACTTAGTTTTTAACCTCCATGAGAATCCATAAATTTTTTTTTACCACATACATGCCAAAAAAAATAAAAATTAATGGGCTTAATGTATATAATCTTAAGTGTTAACATTTATATTAAAGTTGATTTTTTTAACATTTATATAACTGTAACATTCAACTTAATTATTTTCAACAATGTTCAAACGTTAATTTTATATATATATATATATATATATATATATATATATATATATGCATTGTGATGATTCGAAAGAAGTTTACATGTATCACAACACATTAGACTATGCAAACGACATACTGTGAACTTGCAAAATCATTATTTAAGTGTTTAACTATTTTTTATAATAACTTTTAGGCTTCAATACTCCTAAAAGTTGAAACTAAATAATATAATCATTTAAAATTTTGAGATTTAAAACTTGTTTTATAATAAAGTGACTGCTAATAAATATTAGTCTTTAAAATCCACTTTATGATCAAGAATGAATGATAAAAGATACAAATTAGTTATATTATATAGGCAAAATTTGAAAGGTTAGATTTATGTAGGAAGCACTGTGGGACATATAGAAAAAAACTCAAATTAATGTGGTAAAAGTTAAATTTTCGTCGGAGGAAGCTTTGGTTACATGTTGAACACTTAGGGAAAAGAGGAAATTGAAAGCAGACTTTTCTAATTGTTGAGCTTTTCTTTTCCCGCTTGTTACTAAAGAACGGGCATTTCATTTAAAATTATAAAACGACATGTTTAGATGACACACATTTTATAATAAGCGTCCTCCATGTTTTTTTTTCTGACACTAATTTTAGGGCACGCAAAATTGCACTTCCTAAATCTTTAAAATTTATAGAGAGCAGACATTATTTTTTGGTCACACACTTTTGCCGATCATAAATCGCATGTCATTAAGGTCCTGCTTTCTAGTAGTGATTCAAACTCTTTAGGGAGACCTTTATTTAAAGAATGAAAGAGTTTATTAAGTTTTATATATCATGACGATATGGGATCAAATTTGTTTATCATATGCATTTTTGTGTCATGTTTTTTTTATCCCACAACGCTTAAGAAACAAGGTTGAAGTGAAAGCAAACAACTATAAGTAAATAGCCTAAAATATTTTATCTTATATGTTTGTTCTCCTGTGTTCTTGATTGTAACTAGTATAGACTGTGTTCTTGATTGTAACTAGTTTAGACATCAAATGCAACATTCTAGGAAAATTGTTGTCGACCATGAAAGTTCTTTTTAGAACTATCTTGGTTTTTACGTTTTGTGATGTCCTACATCGATAGAATATAAAATTATGATATACATATGACCTTATTTAATGAAAATGTCATTATCGTAAACATTCGACTTAGTTTCACTACAAGAAAAAGACCATTTTACGACGCGCAAACCACGACACTCATTGATTTATGTTATGCAAAAGAGAGTGACATTAAAAAGTGTCATCTCTTCAAAAATTTTAAGGATTATGTCACGCATTATTGTGTGCCCTTAAATTAGTGTCTCTAGAAAAAGAAATTAAAAACACGGAGGGCGCTTTATTTTAAACGCGCGTCCTCTATTCCTGTCGCTTTATAATTTTAATGAAAGGCGCGTTTGGTAGAGGGGGAAACGAAATCCCCAAAATTTTGAAAACCCGTCTTCTACCTTCTTTCTATCTTTCATCTTCACAGTCTACTCTCCCCTCTCTCTCCTTATCTCTTCTCTCCGATCCGCTTCTCCGCCACTCCTTAATACCTTGTAGGAATCTAAAAACTAGAAAACGCCGTCCTCACAAAGTCTAGGAAACTATGGTTTTTTTAATCCCTCAAAGAACGACCCACATCCTCCATAGATCGATCTCTATCGCTTCATTTCTCACAAGATATCGAACACTTTACATTCATAGGGCCACAAAATCGACTATTGCTTGAACTAGGGTTTCAAGTTCGTATCGCATAACCCTCCCTCAATCTGTTCTCCCTGTTCAATCGATTCGCTGGTTTTGCTCGACTCCCGCTCACGCCGACCATCGATGTTCAATCGTCGACCATCGCCGCAACTATAAGTCTTTATCTTCAAGTCTTTATCGAAGGTTTAGTCAAAGGTTCATCTATTATGTAAGTCTTTATCGATGTTCAATCGTCGCTCACGCCGACCATCGATGTTCAATCGATTTGTGTGTACTCAGAACTCAGGAAGACCGTAGACGCGGGTGAAGGCGGAGAAAGAGAGAGAGACTCTGCACTTCTCCATCGATGACGTCCGATGAAACTAAGTAAGTTTTACATCTTGTTTTCTCTCTAGAGTTCCATTTTAGTTTACACCTGAAAAGAAATTAACAATATGATATTTTAATTATTGTTAGGGTTGTGCACAGAAATGGAGAAGATATGTGTAGCAGTGAAAGTATAAGAAAGGCATAACGCCTCGTTCCCAGGATTTCAATGCTTGGTACCTCGATGTCATTTCCCAGGACGAGCTTGCTGATTACGGTCCTGTTCGTGGTACCATGGTTATTCGACCATACGGTTATGCCATTTGGGAAGCTATTCAGGTAGGTCTTTTGTTTGTTCTGAGACGAGCTTGTTAAGCTCCAGCCGTTCGATTTTGATTTTTTACCTTCTTCCAAATTTAACCTAGATTTTCTCATCTGCTTTTCTATTTTTTGAGTGGTTTCCCATGGAAAACTCTTCACGCTCTATTTTCAATCTCTCATTCACCCGCTGGATAACATTTGCTGCTTGTGATGCAATGGAAGGGTCTGTGTTGCAGAAGCTATCTGTGTTTGTGTTGTTTGATGAATGATATTGCTTCATTGAATCCTGATGTTGTTGGTGTTGGTGTGAAACCGATTTCTTAAAAGTAACAGGTGGTGCACTCTCTTTAGCCAAAAAAGGCTCCTGGCAATTGGGACATAGGAGTGTTTGATTCAGGTATATTTTTAGGTATTCATATTGCATCCTGCATCCATGGCAAACAATCCAAAAAGTAGTGGTGGAGCTGTGGGACTTTTGTACTTTTGAAGTTGCACGCTTTGCAAAACTGTTTACACCAGCACCAGGGGAAGCTGATGGAACTTTCGTCCTTTGGTTATAGGTTGATCTTTTAGCCTTGTCAGACAACAAACTCCATGCTTCAGAAATAAGTTTAAATGCTCCATCTTCACCAACTGATTTGTTTTTATCAGGGTTCAGCATGAGAGCCAGCTTTCTATACTGTTTCCTGATTGTCTCATCATCATCACACGGGTTGACACCGAGTATCCCATACCAATCGACTTCACCATTTAACTTGTTTTCTGCAGATATATACACATCAACAATGGTGGACATCTGAGAGATGCCATCAAGATCAGGACACATGGTTTGGGCCTTTACTGTATATTTCTTTGAAGCAGCAAAATCTTTATCAGCCAATTTCTTCTCAACGAGTCTTTTTGCCCTAATGGCCTCATCCCTCTTGCGTTCCATGGCCGACCCTCAACGTTTCACCTGTCTTTCTCTCCTCGGGAAAGGGTGCAAAAGGGCTACAACACAACAAGTACTAAATGCTGAGACTTGAGGGCTTTCCTTTGGTATACAGGTGGTTGTCACAACCAGTCAACATACCTGCTGAAGAGCTAAATTAGGGAAAGTGATTTTTGTGTATGTAAATTGGAAATGAATGATTTAAAATGAAACAGACTAATCTCATCGTTAGATTTAGAAATGAAGACTAGATGTATCATATTCATGTATGTACCACTTATACCATGATAATAATGATGGTAGAGCTGGAGCAATATTATTAATTGGACGCGTCATGTTATCATGGAATATGCTATCATTAAATCATCTTCATACATGCATTTATTGTCTAGAACACATTCTAATGTCAATATTATCTCCTATATAGGTATGGAAGTAGCTAGTAACTGAAAAATCAGGATTTAGGTACTACCACAAGCAATTGTAGTATAACATATCTATGAAATATCTACACTAAGTGACACTTGTTGTAATCATTGATAGAAAGGGTGACACCATTACTAGATGACTACATGCAAGGTAATGTTACCCCCAAGAAATGACTTACACAATGCACTATCCCTATGTTGTTTGATATATCTACATTTGTGTGATCGCATGAACAATTAGGATATATACTTTAAAAAAAATGATGATGGATATCACCAAATTGGTTATGATAACAACAAACCTCCAAATTTTTGTTAAATTTTTAAGGGAAATTGTGGGAAATAACAAGTTACGCTATTAGCTCCAATGGATATCATCAAATAACTAATTTTCCCTTATACATCTTCATATCACTTTATCTTTCTAATGTTCTGATTTGTTAATTGTGCAGACACCTGAGATTCTTCATTTGTTAAAGCAGTCCAAGGAGAAGCTGAAAGAAGTTGATAAAATGATAAATTCATAAGTCGTTTCTATAAACACCACCATCCAACATATTTGCTGATGTGAGCGGGCATGGAATCAAACAACTAAGAACTGGATGGGCAGATGGGCCAGCATATGTCACCTAGTGTCCCATAAGACCTGGTCAGTCTTATACATACAAGTTCACAGTTAGTGGCCAAAGAGGAACCCTTTGGTGGCATGCTTACATTGCTTGGTAGCGAGCAACCATCTATGGTGCAATTATCATATACCCTTGTATGCCGTACCCATTCTCAACTCCAATCGAAGCAGAAATCCCTATAATATTCGGTAATACTTATTCTTCGTCATATTTTGATCTTTCTTGCGATATGTATACATAACAGTCTAGTGATTGATCCTTGTTTATATTTGCCAGGTGAATGGTGGAATTTACCTGTTGAAGGAATAGAAACTGAAATGAACCAGTATGGTAATGGTCCTAACTCATCAGATGCTAATACAATTAATGGTTTGCATGGATCACTCTACCCATGCTCCATTAAAGGTAAATTAAAATCATAATATTACTTGTTGAAAATGACATAACATCACTCTTAATTAATTAAAAGTAATATATTTTAAAAACATCCGTTTGTCATGTATTCCACGTTGCAAATGATTTGAAGATGTTAGCCACCCTGTACCATCCTGTAATTAAAGTTATATAAACTAAATGAAACCAAACTGGTGACATGATTTTAAAATAACGATAGCTAGTTTTATTCTGGTTTCAAATAATACCTATGATTTGGTTGAATTTGTGTCGTCTATTGTGAGTAGTAGCAGCACACTTTTTTTTTCTATGATATGCTTTACTTTTATTTTTATTCACAAAACATTTTTGAGTTGGTAGATCAACCACGCACTTACTAGCCTGGGTTAGAGTCCTGATCAGAAAAAATAAAAAAAATAAAAATAAAAATAAAATCATATATATTTCAGAACGTTAATTAGACAATCTAAAATCATATATACCCCTCTGTTCCTAAAACCTATGCTTATTTTTCATCTTCGGGAATTGATGTGCTTTTTTATCAAAAAAAAGGTTGAATATTTCATGGAAATGCCTTCAGAACTTATTTGGTATGCCTAATAATTTTATATAAAAATTATATTTGTTATTTAGTCAATTATTTTATTGAACAATTTAGTTGTTCCATGGTTGTTTTTTTATCAACTCTAGATTTCATATTCATATACACATTCTTAATGTAATTTCTCTTCTTTTGCTCCACATTTCATCACCATAGTTATTGATTTTTTGATGTTTTAGTGGCAGATAAATTGAAGACAGGAAAGTGGAATGTTAACTTATTACAGGTAGTAATCATTGGTTCATCACACTTCTGCACAAGCTAAGATGTTGACTGTAGATTTACTTGGTGCATAGTGATTGTTAATTATATATTCCTTAAATTGTTTTTTTCTATTTTTCTTTTTACAGGATTGGTATGTTTTTATCTAACAATTTAAGGGCATATTTTGTATTTTGTGGTTGTGTACAGGTATAGAGAATGCCAAAATTGTGGGTTGGATTTCTGAAATGCATTTCACAAACACAACCACAACCACATTCTTTTCGTGTTTTATTAAAAGTAAGTATGTCCCCTTGTTCACTTTCACTTTCATATTTTGTATTTGATTCTTTTTGGTTTATATTAAGTAAACTGAAGCAGTATAATATAATAGAATAGAAAGTGTTGCTTTTTTTTGGGGGGGAAAGTAGCACTATTTCACTCTTTCATACTAACTTTTATAATCTACATGTGTATTAAATTTTAATATTTTATACAGGTATGGGCTGTATTGAAGCTTGGATTCTTGGAAAAAGGTATGTTACTACATGTGTATTAAATTTTAAAATTTTATAACATAGATTGATGATGCTTAAAGCCTTTCTGAATACTAATGTGTTAATGATGAAAACAGGTATCATGTGGAAACAGAAGCATAACAATAAGAAGTAGAAACAAGAAGATGTTCCTTAATAGCAATGTAGTATTAGGTTATATAGTTAGGGAAAACCTCTTAATAACAATGTACAATCGGATCCCATTAATACCAATGTATTACAATTTTTTGACATGATGTTATGGATGAAATTGATTGTTTGGTTATATATTTGTTTCCATATTTTTATATTATGCGTAAATGAGTATCGTAAAGACGCGTCATAAATGTATATCGTAAATGGTTGCTGAAGTTTATGACACGCAAATGCGTGTCATCTTCATTTATGACAGGGGCTTTAATGATACGCAATGCGTGTCCTAAACGTGCGTCGTAAGGTTACGACACGCAAATGCGTGTCGTCTTCCTTTATGACAGGGGCCTCCTTCATACGCATTGCGCGTCATAAATGCGCGTCGTAAATGCGTGTCATAAATGTGCGTCGTAAATGCGTGTCGTCTATAGACGACGCGCAAAAGCGTGTCGTCTCTCGTTATGACAGGGCCTTCCTTGACACGCATTTGCGCGTCGTCTGAGCGTTTTACGACACACATTGCGCGTCGTAAAAGGCTGTTTTTCTAGTAGTGTTTTTAACCTCCATGAGAATCCTTAAAAAAAATAATCTTTTTTACCCCATTAATGCCAAAAAAAACATTAATGAGCTTAATGTATATAATCTTAAATCTTAGCATTTATATAAAAGTTGATTTTTTTCAACATTTGTATAACTATAACATTCTAACTTAATTATTTTAAACAATGTTCAAACGTTAATTATATATATATATATATATATATATATATATATATATATATATATATATATATATATATATATGGTGATGATTCGAAAGAAGTTTACATGTATCACAACACATTAGACTATGCAAACGACATACTATGAACTTTCAAAATCATTGTTTAAATGTTTAACTATTTTTTATGATAACTTTTAGGTTTCAGTACTCCTAATAGTTGAAACTAAATAATATAATCATTTAAAACTTTGAGATTAAAATTTTTTTTTATAATAAAATGACCACTAATATATATTAGTCTTTAAAAGCCACTTTATGATCAAGAATGAAAGATAAAAGAAACAAGTTAGTTATATTATATAGGCAAAATTTGAAAGGTTAGATTTATGTCGAAAGCAATGTGGGACAAATTGAAAAAAAACTCAAATTAATGTGGATGACCTCCATTATAGGTTTTACTAGACGGAAATAATATATTGAAAAAATAAATGATGATTAAAATGGTGTAGGCATGCGTGTTGCACATAGTAGAATAATAAGATAAAAAAAAATTATATATTATAAATTAATCTACAAATTTTGGATATAGTTTTAATACAAAACTAATTATTACATAGTTATCACAATGCATATGATCTAATAATATTAATATTTTCATCAGAAAACTTGAACATAAAACATAAACATATTTTCAACATGTTAATATAACCAACAAAAACAATGCATTTAAAAATATCTATGAATTATTATAGTAAAAATATAACATATTTATAATAATACAAATGTCACGTGTGAATATTGTGGATCATTTTTTGGACAATCTCATCTAGTGCAGAAAAAGAAAATAGTATATAGTTGATTCACGTGGTAGTTTTGTGTGCTTCATATATCTTAAGATAGATAAATGATAAACCATATATATGAAACATCCCAAAAAAACGGTCAAAAAATTTCGTTTTGAAATCATTTAAGAAAACCATAATTCATAAATATCATGTATCTCAAATCATCATAAGAAAATACTATATCAAAATCATGTGTCAAAATATCATAGTGAAAACATCACAGGCTAAACAAATGGTGTGTGCACTACAATCATCCCAAGCTCCTCTATTGAAAACTGAAGTACCTGAAACCAAAATTGAAAACTATAAGGACGAAGCTTAGTGAGTCTCCCCAAACTACCACATACCATACACATGATCACATAACTTAGGCCTTGCCCACTACATCGGGCCCCACCCGACATCGGACCGAAGTCCGACATTGGGCGGACATCGGGCCCCGTCCGACATCGGACCAAGATCCGGTATACATATGAACATGTCAACCATACATATAACATAATCACATAACATAAACATATCAACATATCGTGGGCCCCGCCCGGTATCGGCCTCGTATAGCATCGGGCCCCACCCGGCATCGGGCCCCGCCCGGCATCGGACCGAGATCTGGTATACATATAAACATATCAACAATGCATATAACATAAACACATAAAATAAACATAACTTGGGCCTAGCCCACTACATCGAGCCCCACCCGACATCGGCTTACCCGACATCGGGCCCCGTCTGGCATCGGACCGCATCCGGCATCGGGCAAAGCTCGACATACATATGAGCATATCTACTAATACACATAAACATAAGCGTAATCATCTAAACACAATCATAAATACATTCCTCGGGCCTCGCCCGACATCGGATCAAAATCCGGAAAGCATACTAACATTCCTCGGGAACCGCCCCGGCATCGGACCAGAGTCCGGAAAGCATATAAATACAAACACATGCAAGAATCACAAATACATCATGCATACAAGCATTCATCGGGTACCGCCCCGGCATCGGGTCGCAACCCGGAAACATATAAACCTATATCGAGCCCCGCCCGACATCGGACCTTAGTCCGGAACTAACATATATAACGGGCCGGCCTTGGTGCCTTAGACCCGTTCCTACAGGAGAAGATTCACCTCGCACTGCTGAAGTCCCGCGAATAAATCTCTGGCTGCTGGCTGACATATCCCTCAACTGTCAACATCAAAACAAAACCTAATTAACCATTCTGGTTTCCAATGCATAACCATAAATCCACATTTGGGGTAAAAGGACCATTTTACCCCTAACATAGCTTGGTCCAAGATTAAGGCCCAAACTCATACTCTGATGGCCCAAAAGTCAAATAATCAACCAAGGCCCAACTATGGCCCAATTTTCCAAATTGAGCCCAAACCCCTCACATGGTCTTACCTTAAGGCCCAACTATTTATTCTTGTCCAAACACTTGGCAATCCAATGGTTCAACATCTCATAATCATCAAGACCAGTATGGCCCATCTATGGCCCAATTTTCCAAATTGGGCCCAAGCCTTTTCAATGGGCCTTATCCTAAGCCCAATTTAATATTCTACTCCATATACTTGTTCGTGGATGGCCCATCAATAGCCCAATCACCAAAGCCCAACAAAAGCCCAAGTCAAGGCCCAAACCAAATAAGGGTTTTTACATAAAATGGCGATTAGGGTTAATTAGAAACACTTAACCCATTAAGGACTTAATCCATTAAATCCATCAATCTAATAGGTCAATCATATAGTGTAATTGGGCATAATTCACACGTCAATCCACTGGTCCAAACGCGGGTCCCGACAATCCAAAACTAACATATTCCAAAATTAGGGTTTTCTAACCCTAATTAGGGTTTCTAACCCAAGCATATGCCAATTAGTCAAACAGTTAGACTTTTAGGTCAATTAGGGCTTCATTAGGTCGAGCACCACCTACTGCTACCTTGGGCGGTGGTGGTCGACGACGGCACACGGCGGCAGCCACCACCTTACGGCGGTGGTGGTGGTTTTTCCTTTAATCCTTCCGCCAAAAATGTTTAAACAAGTCTCATGCTACTCAACATACTCATAACATCACAACATACACATACAGCCACCACCATACGGCGGATGGTGGTGGCGAAGCGGTGGCAGGAGGCGGCAGCCACCACCTCATGGTGGTGGTGGTGGGTTTACCGGCCATACATTGCGCAAACAACTCCAAAAACACAATAAATGGCATATATACTCGAACACTTAAACATCCGGCCACCTCCTAAGTGGTTGACGTCACCTGAAATGACGGGATCAGCGGCCAAAGGCCACCGGTGGCAATTACGACGTCGAACAGGTGAGATGAAAGAAGAGGTGGCAGGTGGCTATCCTTACCGAGAACCCTCAGGTCACGCATGACCTCCTCAGCAGCGAATACGGCTTCTGTTACAGGTCGTGGTGGCCCTTCCGGTGACCCACGACGTCCGACAACAAGGGTTGCGGTTCGGTGGTGAAACAGCCGCTTGGCGGCCTTGACTAATCGGAAAACGGACGAGGAAAAGAGGTGGCAGCTGGGAGGGCTCTTGTGGTGGTGGCGGCTGCATCAAACATGTTATGGTTAGGGTTGAATTATGAAAACGGGAGGGAAGGATGGTACCGAGTTTAATCTTGTGTCCATTCAAACTTTAATTCCTTTATCCAATATTAGTCCCTCCCCACAATATTGTTTTCAATTTAAATCCAAATCTTACACTTTAGCCCCTGCCTCCATAAAATCTTTTCAACTTTAATCCAATATTTACCATTCAGCCCCCTTCCTTCAAGATTTTATTTCAATTTTAAATCCATAATTTACCAAACCACCCTCAACCTCCAAAATTCTTTACAAACTAATCCGCGAATTACATTTTAACCCCAAACTCTCAATTATAACTTTTAACCCTCAAAACCAACGCCTTGCTAAATTATTATGGATTTTAGGGCTACTATTTATTCGTCACTTTTATCTATTTATTTATTTAACAAACGGGATGTTACAACTCTCTCCCCCTACTTAAATTAGATTTCATCCTACAAATCATTCCTTACCATCCCCTTACACACCCGACAACTTGAACGACTTGGCCACAATCCCGAGCATAACCTAGCCTTTCCAAGGCAATCTAAATCATCCCTCGCAGGTTTCTAAAACCCGAAAATGAACGAATTCTTGCATCATGATCACATTTACGCAATCTGAAATCCGAAGTCTCGAGACGGTCTGACTCCCTAATAGTCTGCCCATACTGAATCATTATTGTTGAATCCAATCCACTTATCTTTCAACTAGCTATTCAACTTTTGATAACTCGAGGTTCCCACTAGAAAACAACATCATGGACCCAATTATCCCCGCAGATCATTTATACTTGGCAAAGG